ATGTTTAATAGGATGGTTGGAGTGTTTTGAAATGGTTGGTGTTGTTAGATAAGGAACTAGAGTGTTATGGATACTTAGAACCTAGAGAATTTAGGGTCATTTGGAGTGATAATTGATAATTGTCACTTAATTATGTAGATTAAGTGTTGCTCGAGCTTTATTATGCATTTAGAATGTGTGGAGTTAATGTTGAGCCACGGTAACCCTTTTGTGTGTGACAAAAGGTTGAGGTAACAGAATCATTTGATTATATTGCTTAACTGTTTATGAGTAGATATTTAATTTATTAATTGAGATTTAATAAGCTTGCATATTATGACATGTAATTTTGTGAATGAAAAACTATTTACAAACGATGAGAATGGTGAAAATTTTATATACATTGGCTAAGAAATTTAAAACATATATGTGTTATATATGATGGGTATGAGCATGAGCATGTTAGGGGATAAGAGTTCACCCGTAGGAAAGAGTGGTAGAAGCCATATGGCATATATTTCCTTAGTGCCTAATGAGATATGATATTGGAGATTTTCTCTTTAGTATCCATGCAGGATAAGGCATTGGAGAGTGACGCTCCTTAGTATCAGTGATGTGGTGTTGGAGTAACGATACCCTGATTCATGTGCAATAGGGGGCGACCATAGTCTAGACATGGGATAGGATACTATTGGCCAGGTGATTCTACCATTAAAGGTAAGCTTAGACTATTGTGAATGTGCATTTGGTTCAAGAGTCTATAATTTTAATCGGGGTGATATGGAGGCTCAGAAGGTAGAATGATCATGTTAGTGATGAATGACCTATGTTCATGGAAAAGAGTATTTTGTAATATGCTAAAAGTATATTTTGGTGCTTAATAGCTTTACTCTCTTATAGTTGTGCATGTTAATTAATAGTAATAAATTATTCTATTACTGAGATGTTTATCTCATCCCATGATTATATTTTACAGGTGAGGGCTTCGGTAGGGGTAACGAAAGGAAGGGATGATTGAAGAGTGAAGATCATTGTTGTATAGCTATTTCCTTTCCTCTTTTTAGGTTTGTATTGAATATTGCTATAATATAGTACCAACTTAGGACATGACATTGTTTTGTTATAACTTGTGTAAGAATATGTGAAGTGTGCGTATCTTAGCCTAAGATTGCTATTGTTGTGATTAAATGAGTGTGCTTGGCCATGATACAATTACAAGTGATATATTTGAAGTGATTTATGTGTCAAAATGATCAAATCAATATGTGTGTTAAGTTTTATCCACCTCTTTGTGTTATTGTAAATTGGAGGTTTGGTGGTCATTTTGAATATAAATGCTTAATTATGTGATATGATTGACTTGTCATATTACGCGTGGTCTATTTGAGGTAATCAAAGTGATTCTATAGTTAATGGCATTTGGTGGTATGTCTTGGACACCTTTAGAAAGTGTTTTGGGTGAAAACAAACCATTTTGTGTTTGGGTGTCTATCTTTTTAAAAAATGATTATTTAAGTGTGAAACTAATGCCATTAGCCAGAGGGCTCGAAGATCTTAGTATGGACACTTGAACAGCTCAAATCGAACGTCGGATGATAAAACGACACGCTTTGAAATTTTATAGTGCTGTCATGATAGTAATCTGTTGTCATGACAGTAGGTGCACACTGCTGTATATAGCATTTGCATCGTAGTGCAAATACCTTTTGAGGGACTTATGCCTCTGTGTCATACGCTACAGCAGGTGTGGCTTGCGTTATGGTGGATGGGCTAGATTTTTTAGAAAATTTCCAATTACATTAGTTTGTTTTCAAGTGCTGTTTGATTTTCATGCTTCCATTAATATGGTTGATTGATTTTAAACTTTGGTTTGAACTTAAAGAACATTTTTTTTAAAATAAAGCTTTTCTTAGGATCCCATTATTTTAAACTAATTACTTTTAAACCCTTTAATTGTGATAACTTTTTTTTTGAGATTTTTAATTAATTTTGATTATCACAATGAGGTGTAAGTATGTTGTCTTAGTAATGTCAAGGTAGATATTATATATAGGCTAAGCAAACACAATTTCACTTGGCCTAGCCAGCCTAGGACAAAACTCAACTACATTAAACCAAACTTATGAAAACTTTTAAAAAAGACTAACTTAAAAAAAAAAAAATCATAATCATGGTTTGCATAAAATACTAAAATAAAAGTAATAGAATCATCAAAATCAATGAATAAATACTTATGTCAATTAAATAACTGTTTGATGTTACTATTGAACTGACATGCTACTACAACACTAGTTCTCCATAGTAGTCATGATACCATAAGATTTCACGTCATCTTTATTCTAACTTGTCCTACCTAATTTGTCCACAACATTTAATACCAGAGTACTTTACTTAACTATATGTTGATATGTAAAATAATGAATGTAAAGGGGAGAGTCTACCACTGATTCAGTGAAGCACAAACAACAAAGTACATGGAAGGGAAGCAAAAGTTGCACATGAGTTTTTCACAAACTAACTTTAAAAAAAAACTACTATAATTAAGAATACATACTCAAAATCTATATTTTAAGAAACGCCAATTTCCAATAGTTTTGTAATGAGCCAAATCATCACACAAGACATATGTTACCACACTTCCAACTATAACAAAGCTTTTCATTAATACATTCCAATATCCATGGTGGGAAATAACCATCCCACCTACCATATAATATATATGTGTTTGTTTCTTGTACATAGGTGAGGAATAACCATCCTACCTATATATAATATACAACACGTCATATAACTCATAGTGAGGATACTCACCTAATATATCAAACACTTCTACATATTTACACACATCATACAATTAAATAAATGAATCATAGGCACAAACAAACAAATAAGTAAATAAATAATTAGACAAAATTAAATAAATACCAATAGCTAAAAAACTCATTTATTGACAATAAATTAATTTTCATTTTTAAAAGCATAAAAATTGGAAGTATAATTGATTTTAACAGTAAAGGGAAAATTATAAAGAATTGAAAAAAAAGAATATACAAGTATCTCTTGAACTAAAACATCTATACCCATAATCATCAACACATACTTTACTCTTAATAAATTATTAATTGTTGAAATAAAATATTAATCAAAGTTAAAACCTTGACACAATTTCTTATGATATGGGATCATTGAACATAAATAAACATTTGGAGTTTGCTTCCTAATTGAATCAGAGGAAAATGAAACAATTAAGACTAGGATTGTTAGTAGGGATCCTTTTTTAGTCACTCTAAGACTTAACACTAGCTGAGGAGTTCTCATGAGTATCACCTATAGATAATATTTTTATCTGATCATTATGAATTTCCAAAAACCAAACTTCCTCCCCTCTCTTTAATTAAATGTATAAGAGTAGTAGGAGAAATCTAATTACATTAGAAGGCGGCGGAGGAAGAAAGAAAACATTAGGTTTAGGTTTTTCATAAAAATATATATTTTGAAAAAAGTTAAATTTAATCATTTTAAATGCTTTTGAAATATTAAATCTTTATCGAATATAGATATGGCTTCGTAAGATAATATCTGATGACTCTCTATATTTTTATATATTTTGAGGAGTTTTATTGATCTTTTAGAGAGTCATTTAGTTATTTTTATTTATTTGTCTTGTGTCTAGTATTTATTTTGGTGTTTGTTAGCTTGTCTTATAAATATTGTGCCTTGATTTTGTTTTAGAATGGTTTCTTTGGTTAATTTGAGTCATTTGAATTTTAGGAAAGTCTACAAGAGCTTGGAAGAGGTGAATAAGGAAAATATAATGAATTTAATGAAAAAAATTGAATTGTTATGATCACCTGCTACAGCAGCCGTAATAGCGGGTTAGTATTATAAGGCAAATTTTAAACAAAAAATGAAGCTCGCTGTAGCTGATTTCGTACCATAAACGCACAACATTAGTTTTTTTAAATAGAAAAGCGAGAAAACATGAGGGTTTGAGCGAGTTTGACTATTGGGAAGTTCTCTAGACCATAAGAGGCAATTTTGAAGGCTAGGCACTAATTAGGAACTTGGTGGAAGAGGATTCATCCATATATTGTGATTTCTTCTAGTTTAATCTGTTTTTCTCCTTCTTCTCCAATGTTTTTAGTTTGGCTTCTTAATTTTGCTACTATGGGACTAAATTTACTAGTGTATAGCTAGATTTTCTTCATGATCTAAGTAACTATGAACTTATTTATGTATTAGATACTATTTTCTCCTGTCATTCTATGATTGATTAATGTTAGTTTTAGGTTACTTAATCTTATTTATTGTGACTTGCTTGATGATTGGCCACCATTGAGTTAAGATTTAGGGGTTTAGGGTTTGTCTTGAAAAAGAAAATCTTAAATGGACTTTGAGGTTAGGTAATATGGGATTAGAATTTATTCTAATTTATTATTAGGATAGGAATATACCTCTTAGACCCATATAATCATATTGAACTTTTAATGCCTCTTGGATAATTGTGTTAACATTTACATTATTATTTAAGAGAGGGTTGTAATTGATTTAGAAGACAATTTAAACTAATTAGACTCTAGATTAACCAAACAAAATTAATCTTTTGTAATTTAGAGGAAATAGATTCTAAGAAGTAAACAAGGGATTAGGAGCTTAGGTCATCTCTTTTATGAAATTGTTGTTTGGCAGAATCAATTGCTTTTGAATCTTAATTGTTAGTGTTTTTTATTTATAAACTATCACGTGTGACATTCTTGACTTAAATGAAATTGGAAATTCAATGCCTACTTGCCATTGTGTTTAAATCTCTGTGGGATCAACTTTGATGCATTACTGTATTGCATATTGACCTGTATAGTGATGGAAAAATAAGTGATGGAAAATTGCGTTGCTAATCAATGAAAATTCTATCGCTAAATGGATAGTGATGAAATATTTTCAATGGTAAAACACTGTCATTAATTCGTTAGCAACGGAATTGCATTCCATTGCTAATTTCCTATAAATAAATTTTCTGTCACTATGAATTCCGTCGCTAACTTTTCAACGGGCTTATTCCATTGCTAATTCCATCATAAATTTATTAGATGGACCAAAATATCATTGCCATGTCACCTGGTGGACCAATGCCATCTCACCACCACCTAGTCACTCAGTGAACCAGTGCCACCTCACCGCTATGTCATTTGTCACTGCCATGTCAAATATTTTTACCTTCACTCAACTAGGTTCAAACTTGTAACCTCATACTCTTATGTGCCTTTGCGTCTACCCATGTTGCCAGTTGAGCTGAAAGAAATTTTCAATCTTAATTGATAAATTAAATATATAATACTTAACCACACACACATATTAATAAATGTATTATTTAAATTATTATTCAATATAGTATTTAAATTTACTAATTTGTTAACATTATATTTATTTATTAATATGGAAAAATTAATTTATATATAATAATTATTTCTATTATATTTTATTTAAAAAATTATTTTTGATAATAAATTTATATTAAATTGAAAAATATTTATTATAATTATAATTATATTAATAAATTAAATATATTCTATTATAATTTGTATCTATATAATATATAATATTTTAACTTTTTATTTTATATTATTTTATTTTTTATTTTTAAATAAGAATAATTAAGTATACAATTTAAATTATTATTAATAATATACAAATAATTTAAATATTTTAAATTATACTTTTTAAATTATTTATTTATAGCATAATAATAAATTATTAAGTAAATTGTATCTAAATATATATTATAAATAATTAAATTAAAAAAAATATTTATAACAGAATTATGACAGAAAGCTTTGTGACAGCAAATTCCATCACTAAATTGGAATATGATATCATAACCATAAGCGACAGAATTTGTCATCTGTAAATTTAGTTGGTAAATTATCTCTGACGGATTAGTGACAGAATAATGATAAAATTTTAGCGACAGAACATTTTGTCGCTAAATTAGCCATGGAAATTTATTTGTCACTAATCCACTATTTTTTTTAGTGACATCCTTTAAGATATTAACTAATTTCTCTCATTATTATAATATTTTTTACCATAACATTAATTAATTCACTCCTAAATATATAATATATTTTATATTTCATTGAGGATATCACATTTTATATTACAAAAATTATGAAGATTCCTAATTTTTCAGGTTGGATCAAGATTGTCAAAATAGTTTTTCAAAAATGGTTCCTTGAATGGTTCCATATTTTTGGACTAGTGAAGAAATACTTCCTCTGAAGGTCACACAAGGGTATGAATGTTTCAAAGAAAAGACCACTTTTAAAGAAATGAAAAGCCATTCTATTATTTTATCATATGAGGATACCATATGTTATGAGTTGGTGCTTCTCAGTGGTAATTGAAAAAGCACCTTGCCCTACAGTCAACTATTTGATTAGAAGATTCATAATAAAGTAGTGGGATAAATATACAACCAAGAATTTGCAAGCACAAAAGCAGTTCGTGGGTGGATTAAAATCACTATTAAGGCAATTTCACAACTAATTAAAGAACAAGCTACTGTATCAACTGCTTTTCTAGCAAAAAGAACAAGCTAATGGCCTAGTTGGCAGCTACCAAGACAAAAGAGGAATGTGCCTCTCTTATACAAGTAGCATCCCAAGCATCGCAAGCAGCTTCAAACACAAGACATAGTTGTCGACAGGCAAAAGTAACCACAATAAAAGTCACAAAAAAAATAAATAAAGAAATGGTAGACAAAAGCAGCCATTAATCAAAAGAAAGAAGAAAAAAAAAAGAGCGATGGGTGAATTGAGACAATTAAAAGAAATTGGTTTTTTAAATATTTTCTAAAAAAAGAAAGAAAAAAAAATTAGAGAAACTTATTATGAAGAATTAAGGCAATTAAAAGAACATATTTATTTCTTTAAATGGTTAGAAATGTATACTTATAATAATTAAATATTTAATCCCTTTATAGAAAATAATCACCCTTTTATAAGTTTTAACAGAACTAGAACTAGAAATTAAAAATGTAGAAATAATACATTTGTTACAACAACACACCCTCCATTGAAAGAAATAATAGTTGCTATAGGAGAAATTGAAATAATAGGCACCTTTAAAGATAATAAATCCTTGTTTTATAAAAAGTTTTGCAAAAAAGAAAAAAAAAATTATTTTGTAAGCAATCTTGAGTTTTGAAAAGGATGTGATGTTAGTGTTTGCATTTGAGTTTTAACTCTTGAAATGTTATTATTTTTAGTTCAAATCTGCTTTAAAGCAAGAAACCATTTAATTAAGTGTAATTGATTAAGAGAAGTAATAAATAGACTATATGGAAGGAGCCTTCAATTGTTGAGAGTTCTTTGTTTCTTGGTATTATTAATTCTTTAGAACTTGTTTTCTCTCTTGCTTGAGACTACACTTATGCATTGGTTATAGGAAAAGTGATTATGACCATTATTTAAAGTGCACGAGCCTTTAGTTAACCTTAATTACTTAAATATCCTTTGTTTGGCCGAAGAAAGCCTTCCTTTTTTGTTCATTTTTAAACAGTTGACCCTTATTTCCTAACAAATTTCATGTTTTGACATTTAGTATGTTTCAATATTAACTACTTTAAATTAAGCTTAGTAGATAACATCCATTTGACTTTTGAGGATATAATGCATAATTAAGATGATTTAAAAACATATTTATTTCTTTAAATGGTTATAAAGGTATAAGAACATATAATACATGTGTGTGTTTGTGTGTGTACCAAAGAGATGGCCTAAAACGGAAGAGAAAAGAAAAATTGGGGAATGGATAAGAGAAGTAGGAGGTAGATGGACTGCTTGGTTAGATCACATATTATCAAAAACTAAAAGTTGCATAAAATAAAGAATGAAAAATGTAAAACAAAGCTATAATAGTGATAGTCCATATAGTCTAGAAAAAAATAAAGTGAAAGAAAAAAATATAAAGTGCAAGAGAGTAAAGGAAATAGAAGAAGAAGAAAGTGCAAGAAGGTAGAAAAAGGTTAATGGAAATGTTTGTTGAAGAATGAAAAGGAGGCCTATAAATAGAACTCTCTTTAAGACCTCTTTCTTCTCTCTTTCTCCCTAGCTAAAAACTTTCCCTTGACAGGGACATTACAAGGCTTTTATATATACATTTGGGAATGCATCTAGTGGTCAATATCTATTTAATTTAATGGTTAACAATCTTCATTCAATGGTTTGCATGTTGCCACTTGTCAACAGTCAGCACTTGGTCAATAGTCAATGTCAACTATCATTGGTCAAACTTTTTATTCAACTGTTAATCTTCTTCAAGGTTAATGTCAAAGCAATCATCTTTAGTAGAGGTAAGGTAGCAATCAATTGTCCTTCTTTCTCCAACAAGAAGAGTATACTTTTTAATTAATTAGTTAATAAATGTCTTTGTATATGAGGTTGAAGCCAAGCATGCATGAATCTAGCTTTTTTAGTTGAGAAACTTATTGGTATATGAGGTGATGAGCTATTAGGGGTTCCATGATTAGACTACAGAGACATCAGCTCTAAAGTCATGAAAGTTTGTATAACCTTATGTGTGAAACCCTCTAGAGAATACAATATCCGCTAGGTGAGTTTGTATTGCTAAGGTAAAATCCAAGATAATGATAGTTTTGATGGAAAATGTAAAAGAGCTAGAAAGGTATCACCTATAAGGTTAATTTTTGATTTAAAATATAAAAATCCTTGTTTAATGGCTATGGCTATGGGTAGAATTTCCTCAGTAAATTAAAAGTAGTCCCATGATTTTATAAACTACTAGGGAAACTTAAAGCAATTACAGTCCTTTTTGAAATAAAGGAACCATGTATAATGCTAGTATTTGTTCTAGTACCAAAATATGTTATACCAAGCATCAACATAATCCTAATAATTGTATCCCATTAGCTCAAATTCGTCTGAGAATATCTTTAGTTTACTAGGATTTTGACCCCAGTCAGCAAGAGTAAGCACTTTTAATATCTACATTGTAGAGTGGGTCCTTGTGGTATTATGTCTTAAGGTTATGGATTCAGTGTCCACTAAGATAAGTTCATAAAGTTGTTGGGTTTTGTTCAAGTCTAGGGGCTTGAAGTGAAACAATTGAGGAAAGATTTGAGAGGCTATATGGTTTCGATTTTTTTGGGAAAAATTCTAGTTCAATCTTGACAATTTCTATGGCCATGTTAAGCCATGGGATGTAGCTGGTTTTAAGTTTCTGTACAACTTTAGGCAACTGAGAATCTATTTGTTTTGTAGGCTAGCCGTAGTCACTTGTTTATTTTTTAGGTTCTCAATGAGCTATGAAAGAGATATTATATATTTTTTGAGTGTTGAGGATATTATTTGGCTATCTATATTTATTCATAAATATTATTAGTAATAAAGTGTTTAATAAGCAATGCTTACTATGATCCTTGCATTCTTCTGATAGGAGATTAAGGGTTGTAGCTTTTATAGCTTTTAGACAAAAATATTTTGAGGGTGTTCTCCAATTAAAGGAGGTTCGTTTTATCTTAGGATTCTTATTTGATTTTAATGAAGTGGTTAAATTTCTTGGTGATTGTGACTTGGAGGTTTGGGCAGGATATCCAAAATAATGCTTTAAGTTTAGGTAGTATATGAAAAAGGTTTGAATAATGGGACCTCTATTGTAGGTTTTGCTTTTAAGTTAAGGTGTTCTCCTAAAATTTGGAGGTATTCATTGGTATAATTATTTTGCTCCATAAAACTTTGAATATCCTTGAAACTAATTTTCTTATCAGTTTGTTTCTATTGAAAAGGAGATGCCAAAAAAGGCGCTCTTTTGTCATCATGAAGGCTTGGTAGCTAGAAATTTCTTTGATAAGGGAGCTTTGAATCTATTAAATTTCTTTGATAAGGTAGCTGGAAATTCCTTTAGGAGCATGCCATGATTTAGTTACATTAATTGATTTAGCAAATAGATGTTCCAATTTATTGTCTAAAGCATAAGCTTCAAACCATTCAAAAAATGGAACACTCACTTGCAATATTTCAAGGAAGCTATAAATTCAAAGAGCCAGATCCTAGCAAACTCATTTTCAATGGAGTAAAACTCCTTTTGTAGAGATTTTTTATTAATTTGAAAATTAGATGAAATGACATTAATTTCATAAATAAGGTTAAAGTTAGAGATAATGTAGATATTTGATCTTCCTCATCTCTTTGGTAGGTTAGTCTAGGGATATTGGAAGAAGTATTTAGACTTTATAAGTGTATGATTGAGTGCCTAGGTAATTTTGGAGGTAC